TTGTGTATACATATCCCTTCACATTAGGTTTTAGGCCTCCTATTGACCCAGTTACTATTGAATTTTGCCGTTTCTTTGATGCGTGTTTAGGACAGATTGGTCCTATTGTATGGAGGGCTGTGGCATGCCTTAGATATTTGGCAAACCTGGCTCAATTACCCTTCACCTTTTATCATCTAATCCATCTCTACTCTCCCAAATTATTCCGTCATGGGATTTTTACTCTCGTGGCGAGAAGTAAGAGAGTTTTAGTCAGCCCTAAGGATGATAAAGATCGTGGCTGGTATGCCGGTTCGTCGTTTCTCCCACAAGTGGGTTAGTAGGTGAAGAGAACATGCCCTTCCCTGAGAAGTGGAACTTTGCACGTAAGTTTTTCTTTCAACCTTTATTATTTCTTTTCTTTTTCGTGTAGAGCCTGTACTTCTCGTAATTGTTGTTCTTTTCCCTTTCAGCAACCATGGGAACTGTTGAGGAGATTTCCGGTTTCCGTGGTTGGGTAGAAAAATTGTTAACAATTTCTCCTATGGAAGTAAGGTCTTGGAAGTATCTTTCGAATAGATTTGGATGGAAGGTTAAGACTCGCGGTAACTTTCTCTTCCACTTTCTCCTTTTCTTTATTCTTATCTTAGAATTTATTAACCTTTCTCTTTATTAGGGTTTCCCATTCGGGGTGTGAGTGCTGAATCAATTGCTGCCTCTAGACTTTCTTTAGCGAAAACTCAAGAAATAATTTTGAGTTCCTCATCAAAAAGAAAAGTTAATAGACCACAGGATTCCGAAGATGAAGAAGAGAGGGAAGAAGGCTCATTGTTTCGTAAGCCTCAAGCCAGAAGACGAGTCGTTTCTAATGATGAAACTACTCCTCCTCCTCGTCCTGTTTCTGTGTTTGAGCCTGAGAGTGCTACTTTATTGAGTTCTGATGAAGAGACGCCTGCAGCACACCGTGACTCTACTGAACACCTCTTCTCCCGTGGATTTGATGATGAAAACTTTGGCTTAATTTCTGAGGAAGCACCTCTTGCCTCTTTTCCTCTATCTGCTCCGATGGAACCTCAGTTGCTTGTTCCTACTGCTGCTACTGCTCCGCCCGTGGCTATTTTGACTTCTTCAACCGTTCCTACTGCCACAACTTCTCATGTTGAAATTAGCTCTTCTAGTGGAAGTAGGACGATGAAACAAGTTACCATTGAAGTTTCCACTGACGGTAACCTTTTGAAGAAATCAGGCCAGGCTAACGTGTGGTTGAAACCGCTGATAGGCCCAGTTGAAAAGTCTAAACTGGAAAGCCATAGCTCTCTAACTTGGATGAATGATATTGTGCATTCATCTTTGAAGGTATAAACCTCATTTTTTTATCTCGTGTAATTTTTCTTTTATTAGTATCACATTTTTTTTCTTACTATATAGATCAACCTCATCGGTACGGAGATAATGAAAAGGATCGTTCATACGGAGCAGCTAATGCATGACTATCATACTGAGGCCGATGATTGGAAAGAGCAGTACGAGAGTCTTCAACTTGAAATGGAAGTTGTAGAGGAAAACAAGTGTACCTTGGAGCAGCAAGTAAAGGTTTTGGCAGCAAAACTAGCGGTTGAGAAGGCCTCTTCTAATCAGGCGGGCAAAGACAAGAACCTTCTTGAGTCTTCATTTGCTGAACAACTTTCTAAAGCTACTGAAGAGATAAGAGGTCTGAAAGACCTGTTGAATCAGAAAGAAGTTTATGCTGGTGAGCTTGTTTAAACACTCACCCAAGCTCAAGAGGATCTCCGAATGTCTTCTGATAGAGTTCGATTTTTGGAGAATTCACTTGCCCCCCTGCAGGATTCTTATGATGCTGCCTTAACTGAGAAGAAAGAACTTATGAATGAGATTGAGCATTGGGAAAGATACTATGAAGCCCTTGAGGACAAGACTGCCGTTGAAATAAGTTGGGCTTTTCTGAATGCACGCCATGATACTCTGATGGAGACAAGCCGGGAAGGTTTTAACTTGACTGCTGAGATAACAAAAATCAAAGAAACAATTGAGAAAACCCAGCAAACTCTGAGTTTTTCTTCACCCGTGGCTGACACTCCCGAGGGTGATGAAGTTATTCCCGGTGAAGTGGTTGTTCAACCTCCTTCCGCTCAAATTGCTCATCCTGGTTCTGATGATGCCGTTGCTGGTTCAGATTCTGGCCGTTAGTGAAAGTTTAAGATAATTTGAAGTGTTGTTTTATTTGTTTTTTTATTGGTGGAACAATTGAAGGTTTACCCCTGGTCCTTTCTTGGGGGTAATGTTTTTGGAATATCATACCCTTAGTCCATTTCGGGTTTTTTTTGTAAAGACGATGAAGTTGGAACTAAGTTCATACTTAGTTTTAACGAAGTTATTAAGATATTATAAAGTTTTTGTCCAACTTTTATGATATCTTTATCTTGATTTTCTTTTATACTCTCTTAGTGGTTTACCCTTGCCTTTTTCTTTATAAGTTTGAGGTTTTACTTTCCGCTTGACTTTAATGCTCGGGTTTTTGTTTTACCCTTTAACTTTTGCATTTAAAAATGCTTTGTTAATTTTGTGACTTTTCGAACAAGCACGAATTATAAAAGAGGGCCCTTTTATATACGATACTTAATGAAGAAGACGTCTCAACTTCATAATGGTATAAACATACGAAAATAAAAATAGGAACACACATGTTTTGTCTCTTTTGAACTTTCAATAACATTTTACATGTATTTTACTTCCGCGTGTCTTTTAGGTCTAATATCATCATTTGGTGTGGGCTAGTTTTTGCCTATCATCTAAAATTATTAGTATAATTTTAACTGTTCAAAAATAAAAATCGTAATTAAGGGATACCTGACTGTAGGTGTTTCCTTTCCTTAGAAATAATACTTCTTCAAATGGCTTGAGATTGAGGAGAGTATAATGAAGCAGAAATCAAGGGTTAAATGGCTCAAGTTGGGAGATTCAAATACAGCTTATTTTCATGCATGTGTTAAGAATAGACAAGCAACAAATCATATTGGAAGATTGACTGATAGTGCAGGGCAAATACTCATGAAAGCTACTGAAGTGGAGACAGAAATATTGAAGTTTTACAAGCAGTTACTTGGAACATCAGCAACACAACTACCAGCAGTCAACACAGAAGTGATGCAGCAAGTGTATGAACTAAGCAGACAACAACAATTGCAGTTAATAAGACCTGTAACTGGAGATGAAATCAAGCAAGCATTACAAGGTATTGACGACAACAAAGCACCAGGGTGTGATGGATATAATGCATTCTTTTTTAAGAAAGCTTGGCATATAATAGGGGAAGAGGTAACTGAAGCAGTGATGGAGTTCTTTGATGAAAATGTAATGTATAAACCTATCAACTGTACATCCATTACTCTAATCCCTAAAGTAAAGAACCCTAGTAGTATTAAAGAGTTCAGACCTATATCTTGTTGTACAGTGTTATACAAGACTATCTCAAAGATCCTAACAACAAGATTCCAGAAAGTTATGCCAAATTTGATTGATAATTGTCAAACAGCATTTGTGCCAGGAAGGTTGATCATAGATAATATCATAATGAGTCATGAACTAGTCAAAGGCTATGAGAGGAAGAATATATCACCAAGGTGTATGTTGAAGATTGATATGCAGAAAGCTTATGATTCTGTGGAATGGGTATATGTTGAGCAGGTGAATGAGGTTATTGGGGTTTCCAAAAAAATTTGTAAAATGGGTAATGACCTGCATTAGTACAATTTCTTACTCAATCATTGTAAATGGAAAACCAACCAAGCCATTTGAAGCAAAGAGAGGACTAAGGCAGGGGGATCCTCTTTCACCATTGTTGTTTGTGATGGCTATGGAGTACCTATGCAGACTAATGAAGCAGCTAGGAAACATGAAAGAATTCAGATTTCATTCAAGGTGTGCTAAAGTCAGATTAATACAATTGGGATTTGCTGATGACCTTCTGCTATTCTGTAAGGGAGATGTGCAATCTGTCAAGGCCCTGCACAAACAGCTTCAAATATTCTCTGTAGCTTCTGGACTAGTTGCAAATACAAGTAAGAGTAGTGTGTACTTTGGAGGAGTAGATAGCAGGACACAGCAACTGATAATGGACTTACTAGGATACACCAAAGGTGATCTACCTTTTAGATACCTTGGTATTCCTTTGAGCACAAAAAGACTGACAGCAATTCAGTGTGAACCTTTGATAGACAAAATGCTTAACAAAATCCAATGCTGGACAGCCAAGTTTTTATCTTATGCAAGAAGAGCAACTTTGATCAAAAGTGTGCTGGGATGGGCACAAGTTTTTATTCTACCAAAGAAAATCATACAATTTATTGACCCAATATGCAGAAGGTTCCTATGGTCGGGCAGTGCTGAACCAACAAAGAAGGCTTTGATTGCTTGGGACAAGCTATGTGCACCTAAGGTAGCAGGGGGTTAAACTTCACAAATATAAAGCTCTGGAACAAAGCTGCTATTTGCAAACTACTCTGGAACATCTGCAAAAAGAAAGAGAAGCTGTGGGTTCAGTGGGTTCATGCGTACTACATAAAAGATAACAACATATGGAATGCTGAACCAAAGAATGCATCATGGGTTATTCAGAAGCTATTCAAGGCCAAAAGTCAATTTCAAGAGGCTGGATACTCAGAAGATGATGTGAGCTGTATGGATAGATAATCTACCACAAAGATGTACAAAGAACTACAAGGGGACTTCCAAAAGGTGACATGGAGGAAAATAATTTGCAACAACAAGGGATTACCAAAGTGGATATTTATCCTATGGTTGGCTATACAAGACAGGTTAGCCAGTAAAGAGAGATTAGCAAGATGGGGATTACTAGATGAAACAATGTGTATAATGTGTCACAGGTAGAATGAAACAGTGCAACATTTGTTTTTTGATTGTGAATTCTCAAATGAAGTATGGCAGAAACTACTGGCCTGGCAAGGAATCATGAGAAGGAATAAAGAATGGCAGGAAGAAATTCAGTAGACAGAGAAGAAGGCAGCAGGAAAGAGTGCAGGAGCAGAAGTGTACAGAATGGTATTAGCTGCAGCAATCTACCATATATGGCAAGCTAGGAACAATGTTATTTTCCAAAAGAAGCAAGTCAATGCACAGAACATAGTGAAAATGATCATACAAGAGATACATATAGAGCTCAATACAGTACAAAATTGGATACCTATTTGAGAAGTATGAACTGATATCCAGAATGAGCTACATTAGAGAAGTAATAGAAGATTAAGGTGTAGAGAAGAAACCTCAATGCTGGGGCTTCATGTCCAGCAGAAGGTTGTTAGTAGTCAGTTTTGTAAGCTGTAAATATTTACTTGGTAAATAAAAGTCTTTAATTACCAAAAAAAAACTTCTTCAAATGAACGACATTCCAACTTGAGGTAGAACCTTGCCATCCATGGTTTCCAATTCATATGCGCCTTTTCCAGCGATACCTTGAACCTTGTAAGGTCCTTCCCAATTTGGACACAACTTTCCTGCATTAGCTGCTCTTGTGTATTGAAAAACTTTCTTGAGTACGTATTCCCCAATCTTGAAGTATCTAAGATGAGCTTTCCGATTGTAATATCGCTCAATATTTTGTTTTTGCGCAACCATCTTTATTAAAGCTGTTTCTCTCATTTTTTCAAGCAAATCGAGATTTACCCGCATCTCCTCCTCATTTGACTCTTTGGTTGCTTGGGTGTACCTCGTACTTGGCTCTCCTATTTCAACCTGAATTAAGGCTTCAGCACCGTACACAAGTGAAAATGGTGTTTCTTCCGTACTTGTTTTTGTTGTCGTTCTATAGGCCCACAGGACTCCGGGTAACACTTCTGGCCACTTACCTTTTGATTCCTCTAGTCTTTTCTTTAAGTTATTAATAATAACTTTATTGTCGATTCAGCTTGTCCATAGGCCACAAGATGATAGGGTGTTGAAGTAATCCTTTTAATTTGCCAACTTTGAAAGAATTCTGTAATTTGCGCACCTATGAACTGCGGGCCACTATCACAAATGATTTCTTTTGGAACTCCGAACCGACATATGATGTTTTGCCAAATGAAATCCCGGACCTCTTTTTCTCGTACCTGTTTGAAGGTACCTGCTTCCACCCACTTAGTAAAATAATCAGTGAGTACTAATAAAAATCGTACCTTGGCATTGGCTAGTGGTGATGGACCCACAATATCCATCCCCACTTCATAAAAGGCCATGGTCCAACAATCGGATGTAATAACTCTGTCGGTCGATGCATGTTGTTACCATATCTTTGGCACTTGTCACATTTGGCCACAAAATTTTCTGCCTTTTCTTCCATTTTTGGCCAGTAATGCCCTGCTCTAATTAAAGTTTTTACCAAGGACCTTCCTCCGGCATGATTCCCACAATGTCCTTCATGTATTTCTATCATCACGTACTCTGTTTGAGAAGGTCCGAGACACCTTGCTAGAGGGACACCAAACATTTTTCGATATAGATTGCCTCGATCCAAATAGTAACGAGCAGCCTTTCGACGAAGTGACTGAGCCTTTTTCTTATCCTCAGGTAGTATTCCGTACTGCAAAAAATTGACAATCTCGTTTCTCCAATCCCAAGTTAAATTATTGAAATTTACCTCATTTTTATCTTGGTCGATTGCCGAATGAAACAAATGTATTACAGAAGCATTATCTTCATTTGTCACTTCTGCAGCGGATGCAAGATTAGCTAACGCATCTGCTTCAACATTCTCGTCTTTTGGTATCTGCACGATTTTCCAAGTTTGGAATTGTGTTACCAAATGTTGTGCCTTTTCCGAATACTGCTGCATCCTTGCCTTTCTACCTATATAAGTCCCCTGCATTTGATTAACCACGAGTTGCGAGTTGCTTTTGACTATGACCTGCTCTATTCTGACTCTCGTGCCAATTCTAAACCTGCAATCACAACTTCATATTCTGCTTCATTATTAGCAATAGGATGGCATTTTACGGCTTGCCGTATAGTCTCTCCTGCATGTGGGATTAGGACAATGCCTAACCTCGCTCCTTTTACATTTGAAGAACCATCAGTGAACAGGGTCCAAGTACCTGGATTAGACACGTTAAAGACCTGTTGTTCTTTTTCCGCTTCTGTTACCATGCCTGGGCTAAAGTCTGCCACGAAATCTGCTAAAACTTGTGATTTTATTGCAGTTCTAGGTTGATATATGATGTCATATTCACTTAGTTCTATAGCCCATTTAGCTATCCTACCCGATAACTCTTGCTTATGCAATATATTACGTAGAGGATAAGCAGTTACCACGGAGATAGGATGACATTGAAAATAAGGCCTTAATTTTCTAGATGCCATAATTAATGCTAACACAAGTTTTTCTAAATGAGGATATTGAGTTTCATCATCCAATAAAGTCTTGCTAACATAATAAATTGGAGATTGTTTACCTCTATCTTCTCGAACTAATACAGCACTTACCGCCACTTCTGAAACGGCGAGGTAGATGAGCAACTTTTCCCCATCCTTTGGTTTAGCCAACAAGGGTGGGTTTGACAAGTATGCTTTTATATTTTTGAGCGCTTGCTGACATTCTTCAGTCCATTCAAATTGACTTTGCTTTTTCAAAACTGAAAAGAAATTAAAGCTTTTCTCCGATGATTTAGAAATAAATCTTCCCAACGCTGTTATCCTACCTGTTAACCTTTGCACTTTTTTTTTGCTTGTGAGTATATCCGGTATTTCTTCAATAGCTTTAATCTGCGCGGGATTTACTTGAATTCCACGGTTTGAAACAAGGAAACCTAAGAACTTACCTGACGACACGCCAAATGCACATTTCTCGGGATTTAACTTCATATTGAATTTGCGGAGAATCTGAAACGTATCTGACAGATGTTGAATATGATCCCCTTCTTGTTGTGATTTGACTAGAATATCATCGATATAAACCTTTATGGTTTCTCCTAGATGCTCTTGAAACATCTTAGTTGCTAACATTTGGTACGTGGCTCCTGCATTCTTCAGGCCAAAAGGCATAACTTTATAACAGTAAGTCCCCCTGTCTGTAATAAAGGAAGTTTTTTCTTCATCTGAAGGATCCATTTGCCTGAATAGGCATCTAAAAAACTCAATAGTTCGTGTCCTGCAGTAGTATCAATTAGTTGATCTATGTGTGGTAGTGGAAAAGAATCTTTAGGGCAAGCTTTATTCAAATCAGTATAGTCTACACAAACTCGCCACTTACAGGTGAATATGTTGGATCTTCATTCAGCTTATGGGTCATTACCTCCAGTGGTATACTTGTCATATCTGAATACGTCCAAGCAAAGCAATCTGTGTTAGCTTTTAAAAATTCAATTAACTTACTTTTCATCTTCGGGCTGAGGTTGGTTCCAAAGTAGACTTTTCTGTCCGGCCAATGTACAAATAATACCACAGCTTCAAGTTCCTCAATTGTTGTATTGATGTTTTCATTTTCTTCTGGTTCTTGTATAGTATCAGGCCTTGAGTCTACATCTGTTTGTCCGTCTACAGTTGAGGCTTGTGTTGCTAAATCCTTAACTGAATTCTGTAATTGCTATTTTTCGTCGCTTTTCGTGCTTGAATCTGCCACTGAGTTAATGCTTCGAGAAGCCTGTTGATCACCATGGATTTGTCGTATTCCCCATTGTGAAGGAAACTTGATAACTTGGTGTAGGGTAGACGGAANTTGATGTTTTCATTTTCTTCTGGTTCTTGAATAGTATCAGGCCTTGAGTCTACATCTGTTTGTCCATCTTCAGTTGAGGTTTGTGTTGCTAAATCCTCAACTGAATTCTGTAATTGTTATTTTTCATCTGCAGCGTCGTTCTTCACGCTTGAATCTTCCACTGAGTTAATGCTTCGGGAAGCCTATTGATCACCATGGATTTGTCTTATTCCCCATTGTGAAGGGAACTTGATAACCTGATGTAAGGTAGACGGAACAACATCCATCTCGTGAATCCACGGTCTGCCGAGAATCATATTGTATGCCATGTCCATGTCTATCACTTGAAATTTAGTATCTTTGACTACTCCTTCTGTGAATGTGGTGAGTATTATCTCTCCTTTAGTTACAACGCTCGGGTTGTCAAAACCAGACAAGGTCCGTGCTTTGGGTACCAATTTATCATCGGCTTGCATCTGGTTTACCACTCTTAAAAGAATGATATTTACAGAACTACCTGGATCAATCAAAACTCGTTTTACGTTAGTATCATGTACAAGTAAAGATATTACCAGGGCATCATTATGTGGGTTCAACACGCCGTCTATGTTTGCATCATCGAATGTTATACTATCTTCTTCCAAAACTTGGCGAACTCGCTTCCCGTGGGTGACTGTGATTTTTGACACATTCTTTGCTGCCGTATATGTTACGCCGTTGACCTCCTCCCCTCCACTTATGACATTAACGTTCTCTTTGGTGATGGAGGTTTTGGTGGTTCCTTCCTATTCCTCATATACGCTTGCTTACCCTTCTCACAAAGCATTTCGGTTAAGTAACCTTGTTTTAATAGGTGCTCTACTTCACCTTGCAGTAGTCTGCAATCTGCTGTTTTGTGACCGTCATCGTTATGAAACTCGCACAAAAATCAGGGTTTCGCCTGTTTGGGTTCGATCTCATTTCTTTTGGCCACCGCACTTTATCTCCATTGCTTCTTAGAACAGCTACCAACTGGGACGTGCTAACATTAAAACTGTAACCTCCAATTTTCGCCTTTGAACTTCCGTCATTGTCTCGCGTATCTCGCGTATGTCGTTCCTTTCCGAACCGAGATGACGAACCCAAATCTCAGTCCTTTGATCTGGAATTATACCTTGGGTTTTCTTTTTTCGAACGTGAATCCTTCCTGCTGGTCACACATAAGGTCTGTACCTGTTCTTACCGGACCTTTTTTCAGTTTCTGGTTGCCTTGAACTCACCCTTTCATCTCTCCAGGATAATGATCGTGTCTTCTTCTATCCGCAGCTTCGTGCTATACCTGTTGTAAGCATCATTCCAAGTTGTTGTAGGAAATTATCGTAAGCTTTCTTTGAGTCTTCTCGTGGCTTCCGAGTTTTTTTTCATTTAACTTACTGGCAAATGCCATAGCCGCTTAATTGTCAGGTACACGTGGCAGCATCATCCTCTCACGCTGGAACCCGTCTACGAATTCCCTGAGTAACTCCGTATCTCCTTGTTTTATTTTGAAAATGTCTTCCATCCTTTTTCAACGTTTTGAGCTCCCGAATATGCTTTTATAAATGAATTTGCAAGCTCAGCAAAAGTATCAATGGAATTTTCAGGTAAAAGAGAATACTATGTCAGTGCTCCCTTCGTGAGGGTTTCACCGAATTTTTTGACCAATACTGATTCGATCTCTTGCTTGGTCAAGTTGTTGCCCTTCACACCAGTTGTAAATGCGGTTACGTGATCTCGTGGATCAGTTGTTCCATCGTATTTTGGGATATCAGGCATCTTAAACTTTTTTGGAATAGGCAAGGGAGCGGCACATGGCTTCCAAGGTTGTTTGAGAATAGTTTTCCATATCTACTCCTTTGATTATAAGTGGCACACCGGGTATTTGCTCTATGCGATCATTTTGCTCCTTGAGCTATTTCTGCAAAGTTAGTACTAAACTTTGTAAATCAGAATTAACTGGGATACCTGGCCCTCCATCGCGAGATTTGCTAGGAGTTCCTCCGCTGCCTGAATTAGCAAGTCCCGAGCGTGGATTCTCTATGGTTGCAATGTTGTTTGGAGGTGGAGTTGGTGGTATAGTTGGCAACCTATTGACAAAAGCTTGGAGAGCATTGTTGACCTGTTCGGCGATTAATTGTTTCAATGCTGCATCAATAGCTTGATCGTTCTCATGTTGGTCATTCATATTCGATTCGGATCTGTCAGGAGTCACCTCTCGAGATTGTCGAGGAGAGTTTTAGTGTGAGGGGACTGAGTTTCATCACCTTGTTGATTTTGCTGATTCAACTGATGTTGCTGATTTTGTTGGTTTTGTAGGTTGTTGTCGTTGACGTTCGACATGATTTTTTGGCAGAATTGATTTGGAAAGTAAAAGAGATTATCAGATTCCCGGTAACGGAACCAATTTGTTTAACCAAAAAATAGGAATTTCGGTCAAAGCTTAATATTAGAAGTACTCGGGTTACTGCTAATCAAGAAAAGGAATATTTTTGTGATGAGAAAGGAAAATTAGAGTTTGAAATAGCAAAGCAATCAATATAAAGCAAGAGTAAATAAGTGTATTCCAGTAATAATCAGAACGTATACATACAAATGACATTTCACTTCCTTTTATAGCTACTTCTAGGTACAACGTCTCTTCCTTCTCTTAATCGAGTCATTATGAGCATTTGATGACATTAATGAAATATTATAATTGGCAATTGTAACTGTTTCGTGAAGATTTTGTAACATTTCTAATCATTCATGCTCATTAACTGAAGATTAACGAATCTGTACTTTTTGCTGTCTTGATTCACTCCACTGGTGTCTCTTCAAACTACGAAGAGACTCGAGCAACCGTTTCTTCTTGTCTTTTAGACGTTTTGCTCGTAACTATTAAGACTCGCATCTCTTTAAGTACTCTTCTCTAGCTGTCACTTTTCTAATGATCCACGTGTCTTGCCATGTCAGCCACATAATTAATTCCACGTATAATATTTATTTTTCCCCAATACAATCTAAAAATAATTTATTTGAATTTCCTATTTTATATATAATAGCATATTTTTATAGACAGGATTTCATGATATGCACAAGTTCTAAGAAAAATTCTCTTCTTTAAGCTTTTCTAGTCAAACTTACTTTATATAAGATGAAACAAGAGAATATTTGTTTCGAACTTTTTCTTTTCAAACTTAGTTAATCCACCTTGAGATTTCGACGCTAGCCAAGTGCAAACAAACAAACAAACAACAACAGCAACCCAGTATAATCCCATTTAGTGGGGTCTGGGGAGGGTAGTGTATACGCAGACCTTACCCCTACCCTTGGGTAAAGAGGCTGTTTCCAAATAGACGACGCTAGTCAAGTGCCTTCAATAAAAATCAGTACCAAGTTTTGTGAAAATAGGAGCCTAATTACCCCTATTATAAATATTTACACATGATTACCAAACATAGCAACATAAAGAATATAAGGTTTCTTAATTTTATGCTTCAAGCTTGCCACTTTTCTCTCCCTCTTTCTTTTTCCCACGGCTCTCTTCTCAAAAAAATCCAAAAATGGCAAGCATCACGTACTCCTTCCATTTCAAATTATTTGTCATGGTTTCTAAAAATAGTTTTCTCAAATAATTTGTCATTTTAAAGTTCAAGATAAAATTATTTCTTTTTTCTTATTTTATCTTTAGTAGTAATTGTTTTTGAAGATGGAGATGGCGCATAAATTGAATATATATTCAATGAAGATAGTTATATCTTAAGACATAAATAAGGATAAAATAGTCAAAAAGCCCTTCTAATTTATGTTTTTAAGGACCGTATATAGAGAAACATGACAGATAATTTGAGATGGAAGGAGTAATAATTCTATTGCACGTCGATCTAGATCTTAAAATCTTATTAAGCAAATCTTAGCATATTCTTGCACGTCGATGATAAATAAATTAAGAACTCGTTTGCCTCGAATATTTTAGATATCGTCCTTTTGAGTATTTAAGCCACCATATGCTAACCTGGAAGCATTTATTGATTTACATACTTATATATTTGTTAATTGAAACCGTGTTGCTTAGTGCTTAATTACCAATTCCAATTGCTTAGGGTTTTCGCATTGATTGTCTTTCTGCTGTAAATATAAAAATTATAAAAATTGCTAAATTGATTTTTATAATATTTTGATCGATTTTCATGTGAACGCTAATATATTTTGTGGGATCAATAGCGTGTGGAATATTTTAATCCACGTTATAAGTTCTTAATTCCCATCCCAAATGCCTATTTATAGTTGAAAACATTGATAACCTCTCAACAACAATTCCAATAATACAACTATTATTTCAATCTCAACTTTCTGCCTTCTAGCTCTTTCAATTTCTACCTTCCCATTTTGTATACCTCATGGCCGGAGGATCAAATTACATCAGTCATAACTATGCCTCAATTCCGAACAAGTTAGTGTCCGCTGAAGAACCAAGAATACGGATAAAGGTAGAGTCTCCAACATCAGAATTTTATGTTGAAGTAAGAGAAAAAAGTAGAGTGAGGGAATTAATGAAGATAATCATAAAGGTATGGGGAAATGAATACATGAATCTTTATCACAAGTCTACAGAAATGAAGAGTGATCAAATTCTATCTGCTTATAATATCAAAGATGGCTCTATTATCAAAGTTAAAGTTTTTGCTGAACCTCCTAACGAGGAGCTAGTGAGTGTTGTTAAATTCCCAAAGAGAGATTGCACAAGCAGCTTCAAGTCAATGGAGAATAACACAAAATTAAGTAGGTTTTCTTTGGCTTCATTGTGTTTTCTGAGGGGTATGCCTGAATGCCTCTCTAGTTTTGTGTAATTTATTTGTTGTTCCAAACTGATTGCAAGCAATGATTAGAAGCATGTAACTTGCTTCATTTGTTTGTATGAATAAATATTCCATTGACATATACTCTTTCAAGTTATTCTTTTTCTTCCTTGATATGTTCAGGCAAGAAAGATACCGGAGAATTAAGTAGCCAGACCTGACAAGTTAAAATGCAATAGTATAGAAAAAAACTTACCATGTCTAATAGGCAGCCCGGCACGCAAAGTATTTGCGTTTATGCAGGGTCGGGAAAGATCCGCACCTTAAGAAGGTGTGATGTAGGCAGCCTACTCTGATGCAAGTATCAGTGGCTGATTCCACGGCTTGAACCCGTTGTATTGGTCTAAATTTGGCGACTTGGTAATAGTAGATAAACGGGACAAAGGACGGGGTCGACCACGGTGTAATAGCGGGAAGCCGTCCTAGAGAGGGTTGTTGTCAAGGACGAGCAGCTGAAGTGAAGAAGTAACGGTAGGATAAGTTCAGATATGGACATGAGGAATATTCCTTCGGATATTCCTTGTTTTGTACTTTTTAGGGTTTCTTGAAAATATCCTTTATAAATAAGAAGAGATAGAGAACAAAAGGGGATCTTCACTTTTCATGATAAGAACACTTTTGTAAATAGTTGACAAAGAGTTATATACAACTATTGTCTTGTTCACTAACTACTTGACTCAACATATATTATTCACTCTCTGTTTGTTAGATCCGAGGATCACTGATCCATCCTTACTTACCATTCTTCCACGTTGCTGTCAGGTGGAAGAATCATCTAAGCCACATAATATTTGAGTGATAAATTTTCTCTTATTACATTTATTGCCATTGTCTACATTTATTGCATGTTCTTATCGTTGTATCATTCATTGTTAATCATTGAGCTCATATATGATATTCACTACCCTTAGACATCACCCGTACGATTGATATCCTTCGACATTAGATCTGGAAGTCATTATATTTAACTAAGATTCATCCTCTGCTTTATCATCAATTAGTTTAACAAAAAGCTCAATACTTTTTGGTCAAACAATTTGGCGCCGTCTGTGGGAAGTTTTTAGTTAAAATTTTAGTTTCTTCTAGATCATAAAAAAGGGACAACCATCTTTTCCTCGTTTGCATGAACTAATAATGGCAGGAAAAGGAGATGAAAGACAGAAAGCAATAATGGGTGCCACTACCAACTGTCACACCTCCTTTTGCCTATCCCCGGAAGGGGTATAAGGGAGTTTTTCCAATTAAAGTGATAATCGAAACGGGATTGATTATTAGATTCTGAGTCGCCACTTGGGATAATTTATGGTGTCCCAAGTTACCGGTTTAGAATCCCGAATCGAGGAAAGATTGACTCTATTTTATAGTCCGCGAACACAGAAGTCCGGATAAGGAATTCTGTTAACTCGGGAGAAGGTGTTAGGCATTTCCGAGTTTCGTTGTTTTAGCACGGTCGCTTAAACTATTATAATTGGTCTATTATCTGATTTTAATACATGTTTTAGCCTATGGTATATTTTAACTCATTAGCCGCTTTTAATTAATTTTGGGAAGTTCCAACGTTATCTAAAACACATCTTGAACCACGCTACATGAAATGCACCCGCGGTCCACGACACATTTTATTTAATGTTGTTGAGAATTGGAGTTGGGTCACATGAAATGCACACCCGAGTTTAGGAAATTAATTTTAAAATAGCGCGCCTAAAGCAACTACGCGCTTTCAAGTTAATAACAAGGTTTGCGAGGGCCATGGAAAGTTCAACTAATGGCACACCTCGATTTTTAAAGAGTTAAAATTAATTATCCGAGGGCCATGGGTTATCTAATTTTTGTTTATGGCACACCTCGAGTCTAATTTTAAAGGATATTTGAACTACTCTTTTGAGGGCCATAAATTATATGTTTCATCGATATGGCACACCCCAATCTAATTAAAAGAGTCTAATTAGTTAAATAAGACTGAGGGAATTCGAATGTGTGCTAGGTTAATGTTCAATCTAATCCTAATAATTAATGAACCTGCACCAGGCGGAACCAAGTGTTTAATTAATGGAAACGGGCGGCCGGCTGGGCTCAACGCAAGGCCCAGCACTGAATTAAAGATGGCCATTTCACGTTGATGCATATCAAAGGAGATCCTTTCCATTAAATAAAAAGAAAATCAAATGCGTTCCCAAGCTACTAGGTATTCAGCAGGTTGCTTCTCATATGCCCAAATTAAGATCAATCACTATTAAGAATTGCGACAACATAAAAACAAAGCACCAAATATGAACAATAATGGCGAACATGACCTTAATCATTTGCTATAGTCAATTATCACATGAACCTGAATTTGAAACTCCCC